GCGTTATATTCCGAAAATGCTTAAACATTACCAGAAACATTTCATATTTGCTTCAAACCACTATTATACAGGTTCCATAGTTTACGACTCAAATAAATGAATTCAAAACTTATGAAAGTCCGGACTGCCTATTAATTCTTTGTATTTCAAAATTGAGCCATCCATATGACATACATTGAGGTTGAAGCAATAAATCGTTACAAGATTGCAAAATACCGTGGTGGATGTGAATCCCGAAAGTGTGCAAGATATGCGATGCGTGTGAGCCACAGCATAAGGCAACCAAAGTCCAAGCAATAGCCACTCGATTCCTACTCTTAACCAGCATTTTTCTTTTCTTCTCAACCATCTCCTTCCATTTTCTCACATTCTCCGCCACTCCAACCTCCGAATTCCTCAAAACCGTCGGGAAGCCACAATCCGTCAGTCTTCGCGCCAGACTCTCCGCCACATTCACCGCAGAACCAGCCTCCGCGCCAACTTCATCCGATTTCAACCGAATCGCCGCTGTCTCAGTCAACATATTAACCACCACAGAGTCAACTCGGTCGTCGGACGAGAGAATGGATTTGACTCGGGAGACGCATGCACCACACATCATTCCAGAGACATCAAGAAGAACAGAAGACTCATCCCGCCGCTCCTGTTGAAGCACCGTGTTCTGAGCTCGAAGTTCGGCCTCAAGAGTATTCGAAACAACGAAACGATGCCCCAAGCATCTTCCAAAACGACGTGGATACTGTTTCCGTACCAAACTCTGAGGTCGATGCCGTATGGGGAGAAATCCAGGCCTAGACTCAAACAAAGAAGCCTGAGATTTAGAGGCGGAGTGAAAGAACTGCCTCTGGTGAGGCCATAGAGAGAGCCGCGCTAAATCGGCCGCCATCAGAGCATCGGACCGGCGCCGGAACTGATAGTTTCAGAGAGGGAAGAGAATTGGTGGCCAATATTTCAACGAGGAGAGCATGTGGTAGTTGAATTGCAGACTCTCTTACCTAAATTTTCGGTATGAAACTGCAGCTGCCACGTCATATCCCCTATCCATGTCTTCAGTATTCTTTTTCGCTTGCGATGGTCGACCGGTAATTTTATCACGAGCGGAAGCAAAAAAAAAAAAAAAAAAAAAAAAAAAAAAAAAAAAAAAAAAAAAAAAAAAAAAAAAAAA